TAAGCGTTAAAAACACTCAATATAACTCATAATAATAGCCCAAATAATTATTTTAAGGTCCTAATAATGTTACTATAATTAAATAAAATCTATATTAAATATAGTATAGGCGTAGCTCACTTACAGCGAGTTTTTATTAAAAACCGGGCTTCGCTGGAGCAGCGTTTCCAAGCCGAAAGCTTTTCTTCTCGGAGCCGTCGGGCGCTCCGGGGTTTTCTTCTCGTGCTAGGGAGGTTCCGTAGACTTGGGAGGGGTTTAGGGAGGCTAGAGAGAAGTTAGAGAGAGAAAGAGAGGCTTATGGTGTGAAGAAAATATGAGGAGTTCACCCTTGTATTTATAGGAAGTGTATAGTAAAGTAGTCACCAAGCTTCGTCCGTAACTTTTGCATACGAGCTCCGTTTTTGTCTGTCTTTTTACCGTTGAGTTCCTATTAATGAGATATTCAACTTTCATTTAGACCTCGTTGGCTAATTCTCATTCTATCTCGGATTTACAAAACTGTATCGAATTCGCTGCGCTCGAAAAGTAAGGACTAAGCTTCGTCCATAACTTTTGCATACGAGCCCCATTTTTGTCTGTCTTTTTACCGTTGAGTTCCTATTAATGAGATCTTCAACTCTCATTTAGACCTCGTTGACTAATTCTCATTCTATCTCGGATTTACAAAACTGTATCGAATTCGCCGCGCTCGAAAAGTAGGGACTAAGCTTCGTCCATATCTTTCGCATACGAGCTCTATTATTGACGTTCTTTATATCCACGTGTTGGTATTTACGAGTACTACAACTTTCATTTAGATCCCTTCAGCTAAAAATCGACCGATCTAAAATTCAGATTTCGGGCTGTGCACTACGATGCTAAATCTTAGAAAAATCATAATTTCCTCCTACGAAGTCAGATTTGGGCGTTCTTTTTATCGACGTTATTAGTTTAACATATTCTACGACTTTCGTTTAGATCGCTAAGGCTAAATCTCGCTCTATCGTAAATTCACTATTTACGCTTCCCGGTATCGTGCCGGTTCCGTCGCGAAACTTCAACGGGTCATAACTTCTTCGTTATAACTCGGATTTCGGCGTTCTTTATATGTACGAAAACCTTGTAACATACTCTACAACTTGTTTAAGATTATTTATTCTAAATAATCTTTTGTCGAAAAGTCGTTTTCGACCCCTATTGCCTCTAATTTGACTAGCCCGGATTTGCGGGCGTTACAACAACCTAAATCCTGCCACTGTATTTTTTGGATCCAACCATCTACAATGGTTCCTTGGTTCCATGGTTTCAAACAGTTCCTTGTTGAACCCAAACCTATATATATATATATATATATATATATATATATATATATATATATATATATATATATATATATATATATATATATAATGTTTACAAAATATATCAAACAAACTAGCAGATATTTTGATAGTTGTAAATCACCAACAAGTTTCAATATTTTGTACAAGAATTTTTTTATTTTTTTTATATTTTAAAATTCGATTAATATAAATCAATACATATCGATGGAAGGCAAACGGGCAACAAGCTGCGCCGCTAGCCCTTTCTGGATGGCAAAAGTAATTATTTTGAAAACAACATCTGTGGATCTAGGAGATATGCCATTAGAATGCTTGACCCGTTGGACTATATTAAGGAGTTTCACCGCCTCTAGTGCGAAAAAACCAAATATATCAAATGCAAAATGTACAAAACATGTTGATTTTCTATACATGCATTCTCGTGCTTTGCCGCTTTGTTTTGCCACTTTGCACGCAACAACTTTCAAAGCAGCATGCCCTGCTGTGAAACCCCCACTCCTCAAACCAACGAGATGAGAGACTGATCCACACACGTGTGCTTCCATCCTGCCCATCCAGAGACCAAAATGTCAGCCGGTCTAAGTGTGAACCTTGCATCCTGCGGGTCCGTTAAAAAGTTCACTAGCCATTCTATCTTCGCAGAAATACCAGCACACCGACAAGCATCAAAGAGAACATCTCTAACCACATCATGTTTGTACTTGAAACCAGGGAGCTCTCTACAGTGAACAACATGTTCCCCAAAGGTATCCAAACATGCTTTGCGGCAAACTAGGCATATCTCGTCAATTGAGAATAGTGGAATCATGAGACAGTAACGAAGGATAGTTCAGTACTCTACATGAGACATAAGTTGTCCAAGGCCATCAATATAGATAGTTAGCAAAAAATCCCAAGTATGATGTACCCGCAAACACTCAAAGACTGCTTTTTGTCTAACAGTCATGTCGAAGTTACCTTCCATATCTTTGACGATTTTGCTAAAAAGGGCACACGCCAATGCTTTTTGGGATTTAGGGGGGGCGGTGTCCTTATTAGTGAAACCACTACAGTTAAATCACAGAATCGTATTGCGAAGACGAGTCATAACCCATAGGTAATCAGAGTTCATACCACATATGTCACTGTCACGTAAGATGTGGTATTGTAAAGCCCAAGATTTGGCCCTCAAGGTTACAAATGCGTAGGACCTCGTATGCCGAGTACAAACCCAAACCACCGAAACGAATAGATAAGAAAGTCGGACGCCACAGAATGTCTCCAAAAAAGGAGTCTCCACATACCATCATATCCTCAACTGACCTGCACAATCTTTTGTCAAGGAACAAAGCCGCCTCTTCTACGAGCAATCCTTTCAATATTAAACAATCATTATCTAATACTCCAATTTATTCATCGCTTTGACTTTTGGTTATGGTTTTATATGTGTTTGATGAGTTAATAATTATTTGTTGCGCATTGTACTTTTTAATAAATGGAAGTATTTAAAATAACTTGCAATTGTTCGTGCATTAAATACGAGTTTCGATAATCACCAGCTCATGAACTTTCCCGAATATACAATATTTATTACCACTTGCAATCAAAATACCTATCAGGCTATCACCCACCCAAATCTTTATTAAGCGATGTTCATTTTTCTTATATTTGTTCGATCGTGAGTACGTACGGATAGTAAAGATGATTCAAAGTTAACAAAGAATACGCCTCACAAAACGATCTAGATCTTATCAAGTTGTTGGAGAAGTTGATCATAAATAGCATAATTGAATATTTAATTATAATAAATATTATTGTTCGATGCATGGTTTAATTGAGGTTATCGTCAATCACATCGAATACAAAATTAATATTTTTGCCATGGAGCCTTGTATTCGTAATCAGAAGGAATGGGTTTATCGGTGACAGCTAAAAAAAAACCCTTTGGTCTCACTAACCATCTATATGTTCTACAACCTGCCGCCTTTGGCAAAATAACGTTGCTGCTACCACAATGAGATGGCCATCCAGTGTTGATAACCTGAAATTTGTTTGACAAATCATTCCACTGGAACTTACACCAAAACACCGAATGCTTACCCGGCCAAAACAGATCACGAAATCTCCATGAATACTCCTGATTCGGCAGGAGCACATGAATTCCAAGATCGTCATTTCCTGACCAACACCCGACAATCAGATTATTTCCCGGAAGATCCAGACCACTCCTAATATGCACTTCGAATACATGAGGAACCGATGTAATTTCACCAACATAAAACACTAAAAACACAAGGAAGAAACTTGTACACGAACCCATTGTATTTTGTTTTGGAGAAATACTTTGGGTTTTTTTTTTACTCAAAGAATATATATATATATATATATATATATATATATATATATATATATATATATATATATATATATATATATATATATATATATATATATATATATATATATATATATATATATATATATATTTATTGTGAATATTACTAAATATGTTAAAATCTTAATTTTTGTTGTCTGTTAAGAAAATGATAAAATCATATTTTTTTGGTCTAATATTTTCATTCTTACCATCATTCTATATTTTTAACCCAAAATTTATGTAAAATGCAAATTTATACAGTCCATTTACAGTATAATAGACAAAATTCACAACTTAATACTATCTATTTTACACTAATTCACAAATTTAATGAAGTCAAACCCAAACTCTACCACCACCACCATTAGCACACGCTGTCACCGACCACCTATGCCAATATTGCAACTATATTTTCTTGAAAATCAGATCTGCATATATAGTCATGTAATGAGAGGGTAAATACTACATTCATAATTTAATAAACCTATTAATTCACTCATATTGAATTTAATACAAAACAATTAAAAAAACTAATGCATTCTTATGTACTTATACAACATAAAAAATAAACATATTCTAACATTAATACAGAAGTTCATTCATAAATCATTTATATTTTAACATAAAATTTATAAAAAAAATCACTTAAAGTTGCAATCAGTTCACTTAATATAATTAACTCACAGTTTAAACAGAAAATTCATAGCTTAACGCAATCAATTTAAAGTCTTATACACAAAAATCACAGTTTAATACACAAAATTAGGAGCTTAATATAGTCAATTCATAGTTTAAACAAAAAATTCACAACTTAATGTAGTTAATTCACAGTTGAAAACACAAAAATCATAGTTTAATACATAAAATTTACAAATTATTACAATAAATTCACAGCTTAATAAGCAAAAAGTATTAAATTCACAGTTATATTATCAACTTAAAACTCTTAATACAATCAATCATAAGTTTAATACATAAAATTCACAGATTAATACACAAAAACTATATATTCACATCCATATTATCAAATTAAAGTTTACATTTATACGTTCATATATGGAAGCATGTCTATGTATTAATTTGTGAATTTAATATAGCTTAAAATATAAAAAATTGCAATTTAATACAATATATTCATAGCTCATTTACAAGTATAATACAGTTAATTCACTTTTTAATACCAAAATTCACAGCTTAATATAACAAATTCACGGTTTAATACACAAAATTCACAGCTTAATATAACATTACCGGAAAATCACTTCTTGTAAATCTAACATTTTGTTTTTAAAGATAACGATAACGCTTGAAAACCACATGAAATGATTGCCAGAACTCGTGACCAAAAAGCACATATAGTCGTGTTGAACTCACCGGGACGCGTAAACAGTAGTCGGAAAAGATTTGGTAACCATGAAAGAAGTCGTCGGAGGAGAAGAAGGGGAAGAGATTTGACGAAAATCTTAGATCTAATTTCGTTGGCGAGATGAGGACGTGATCCAGATCTGATACATTCGAGATCTACCGTATTTTAGTGAAAATCTGGTGGTTTTGGCGGCTGTCTAAAGCAGATCTGAAGAAAAAGTGGTGGCTCGTCGGAGCAGATATGTCATTGAAGGAGGACACGACGATGACTGTGGCGGTTCACTGGCGGAGCTTCAATATTTCATTTGGGGGGAGGGGGGCGAAAACACAATTTATATAAAAATTGGTGAACAGGGGGGGCCGTAGTCAAAATTTTATATTTTTGGACTAAATATGTATAAAGTTAAAGCATAGGGACTATTAATGCCAAAAAAATCAGGGGGGGCCACAACCCCCCTAGCCCTTGAAAAGATCCGCCCATGGGTTCACCACAACAACAACAAAGAGAAGGGTTCCAGATCTGAAACTTCAATGACGTATTTGAGTGTTATCGCCGATGGTCAAAGGCTACGAAGTGGAGGTGTCGTCGTCAGCGGTAACAGTGGTGAGGCAACCGTCGATAATGGTGGATGTGGTGGTGTTCATCGGAGATGGTTGTAGGAGGTGAAAGGATATTTATTTTGTCTCGGAAGAATAGTGAAGAAATGGTATCAGATCTAACATATGTAATATGAGTGGTTCTTAGGTTCTTAACCTTTAGTGGTTCTCATTTGAACTTATATATATATATATATATATATATATATATATATATATATATATATATATATATATATATATATATCCGTACCTAATAAAAGAGTAGCAAATTTACCACATATCAATCAATTAAAGCTTGAAATTAATTATTTGCCACTTGTCAGCTATTGGTTTTTCCTCATTAATTACATTTCCACTAATTCATTCTTCCCTTTTACACGGATGAAACACGTCAGCAAAAAATTGATTTGTAATATCTGTTGCCTAATTTATTACAATAAATATTTAATTTATTTTATAACCGTGGTACCCACAAGTATTAACCTAGTTAGTGAATAAAAAAGCCTCCGCAATAAATTAAGGAAATACATTTAGTAATTCATGGTGAAATCATTGCATGCGGAATAACCAAATTTTGTGAAGTTAGGAATCTCACGAGCAGTATGGAAATATATTTTATGTCAAAAAAATTGTATTGCGGATGCACGGCATATGTTTACGAATTGAATGATCATTTTGTTAAGAGTACTAGGAAACCTTTGGTGACACATACTCGATTATGGTCATTTTAACCAATAGTCATTCTCTGTTTTTTATTTGGTTTGATTTTGAAAGAATACATTATACCCTATTCAAATAGCAATGACAAAGGGTCAAAACCGCATTAGGCAATGTGATATTTACCCACAAATTGTATGTGATTTTGTAGATAACCTATATGAAGTCAAAATCCAAACATATTTCGGCTCTTGCCATCAATTTTTTACCACTACACATTATATTTCTCGGGTTATTTCACAATAGTCATATACTCGTTTTGATATCTAACGAACTAAAAAATTTTCTATATACTATGAGGAAACTTTAGCACAAAAATCCTCGCAATGAAAGTAGATCACCCAAAAGTGCCACCTTCAGATCTTGATCAACGCCCCTTTCTGTTGATCTTTGGATTTTTTGACATCCGGACACTTTTTGGAGTAACTTCAACCAGCTCATCTTCTTGAATGTACTCGATGCAGTCATCAAGACTATAATCCATCGGCGTGTCAAGAACAACTGCATTATAAACAATTAGAGTTTGAGTTGTGGTTGATAACTTTCATCATGGGTTAAATTTGATTCAGAGGTTATTAACGGTTCTTACCTGACACTTCTTTATTGGAACGAACATTAGTAGCAGCTTTCTTTTTGCATACATTGAGGGACAAGTCACCAGGTCGTTGATGAATGCCAACAATTTGGCCTTTGTAAACTTCTGCTCCAGGTTTGACAAACAACTGCCCTCGTTCTTGAGAACTAGCAAGAGCATACGAGGTTGTGGTTCCATCTTCAAATGCAACCTACAAAAATAAATAAATTTCCAATAAAACACTAGTGGCTTCTGTATTTTTTGTATTTTCCCCATTTGACTTACCAGGGATCCAAGATCACGGGTCGACATATCACCGGCCCACGGGCCGTAACTGTCAAATATTGTGTTCAGAATCGCGGTCCCACGGGAAGCTGTTAAAATTGCATTTCTCAACCCAAGAAGCCCACGGGTCGGAATTTTGTATTTCAATAGTGTCGTTCCTTCGGACCTGATTAAAAAAAATGTAAAGTCATTATTATTATTAAAAAATAATATTTGGAAACAATGTAAAACAGAAAACTTTGAGCTTACCCAAGGCCTTGCATATCAACCATTTGCCCTTTCCTTTTTCCAAGAAGTTCAACAACCGAACCCATGTGTACTTCAGGCACTTCTACAGTCGCAATCTGCGTGTAATATTAAAATATTAATAATAATAAAAATTAAAATAAAGTAAGAAGAGAGAGAGAGAGTGTGTGTATATATTATTACCTCGTAAGGTTCGAGCACCTTATCGTCCACTTTTTTGTTTATTACTTTCGGAGGGCCCACCATGAACTCAAAGTTTTCCCTTCGCCTAAAAGAATTATTATTTGTTAATAAAAAAAAATAAAAGATTTTAGAAATGTAGAATTGAAGTAATGACGTGTCTTACATGTTCTCTATGAGTATAGTGAGATGTAAAGTGCCACGTCCACTAACAAGAAAAGTATCTGCAGTTTCACCATCTTCAACTTTCATGGCCAAATTCCTCTCAAGCTCACGATAAAGTCTATCTCTTAAATTTCTACTTGTAACATACTTCCCCTAATTGAAAAGAAAATATATATTTTTCAATTGTTCAAATGATGCGCATATAAATATATATAATTTAATCATTTTCATATACCTCGCGACCAACAAAAGGTGAAGTATTGATAGAGAAAGCCATTTTTACAGTTGGTTCTTCAACCCTAATAGCAGGCAATGGCTTCCCATCGTTTTTATCAGCAATCGTCTCCCCAATCTGATTAAAAAAATATTAATAATTAATCTCTACAATTTTCTACATGAATAGAAAATCTTTCATCTACATATACGCCTTTACCTGAACATCACCAACACCACAAACAGCACAAATATCACCAGCCTCAACACTTTCTGCAGGTGCCCTGTAAAACTTCTCAAATACAAACAGTTCGCTAACTTTTCCAAATCTGCATGAATCTTCGGTTGTGCATATCTGAGATCATGTTTATACAACATAATTATGAAGAACACAAAAACTTTGTTACTAACTTTTTATAAAAAAAAAAAAAAAAAACGAAACCCATTTAGACAATGTGTTGAAGTTGAGTATAAATCAGACTTACCCGAACATCCATGCCTCTAGTCAGAACCCCTGCATGTAATCGTCCAATAGCTATCCTCCCTTTGTGCTCATCATATTCTGTGCTTGTGACCTAAATATAGTTAAACAACATTCATTAGCCATTATAATATAGTGTTATGTATGATAGCATAATGAGAGAAGTAAAAAAAAAAAGTTACAAGCATTTGAAGTGATCCATCTTTCTTGATTTTTGGGCCTGGTATGCATCGAATTATGGTCTCAAAAAGTGGTCCAAGATCATCTGCCAAATTATCAGGAGAAAGTCCAGCCATTCCCTTTATGCCACTCGCATATACAGCTTGAAAATCACACTACACGATAAATGAGATTGTTATATTATAGAATATAGATACAGATATAAACGTATTTATCATGTAACATACTTGTTCATCGGATGCATTTAGTTCAATGAAAAGTTCAAAAGTGGAGTTGATGACAAAATCCGGACGTGCAGATGGTCTATCGATTTTATTGACAACAACAACAACAGCATGACCAAATTCAAGAGCTTTCTTCAAAACAAATCTTGTTTGTGGCATTGGGCCTTCAACAGAATCTACCTGATAAACAAGCATCATGTAATATGGAAAAATGAAAGCAGGATGCAATAATCAACAAATCAATGGAAGTAGTTTGTTATTTCTTGAGAATAATTACCACTAAAATAATTCCTTCCACCATATTGAGGACACGTTCTACTTCACCTCCAAAGTCAGAATGGCCAGGAGTGTCGATAATATTCATTTTTGTATCTTTATAAGTAATTGATGTGTTTTTACTGAGGATTGTAATCCCCCTTTCACGTTCCAAATCATTTGAGTCCATTATTCTTTCTTCTACAACTTGATTATCACGAAATACCTGGAATAAATTAGTATTAGACTATTAGTTCATTACCATGAGAATATCCCCAACAGGTAATAACAACTAAATAAAGCAGTCATTGTTGTTTGTTAGGTTAAGAAGACATACAGTGGAGGTTGGTTAGTTGTGCTATTTATATTTAGTATTTACACAATCATTAAATTATGAACATGTAAAAGTAATAGAAGTGAAAGTGAATGAATATTATGCTTACCTTTGCTTGTTTCAACATAGCATCCACTAGAGTTGTCTTTCCATGATCTACATGAGCAACAATTGCTATATTCCTTATGTCGTTTCTCCTCACTAATGCAACCTTATTCTCTGAATAAATAAAGTACCAAAAAGTTTAAAAACACACAAAACTTGTTCACTTCATGAAAATATGTTGCTATTTATTGCATTTAACCCTTGATCAAATAACAAGATAGCTATGTTTATGATCATAAACAGGAAAATTTGTGTGGACTTCAACCAAATACGAGTTTATGAACATTAAAAACTAAAAAAACTAATGAAATTAAAGGCAACCAAGCACAGAGAAACAAGCGTATACATATGAAATTATACCAGAGGCAGTTTCAGGTGCCTCAGCTTCAGAAACAGAGCATTTGATGAAACTGTGAAGTGGGTTTCTTCTTGAATGCGAAAAAGATGGAGACTTGATGTTGGAGGAAGAATAAGAAGATAAGGTACGACCAACAGGGAGTTGGGTTCTGAGGATCGGTGAAGAAAAGGAGGAGTTCCTGTGATTAGGGTTAACTGTGGGAGTGACATAACTGTGAATTCCGACAGCCATCTCCATTGCTAATTTGCTCGGCCTCAGTCCACAGTCTACGAACAGAGAACGAGGGATAGCAAAATGGGATGGAAGGGATGTAATGTAATTGGAAGTGAATGGTGGTCATCGTGTTTAAAAGGTCTGGGAATTTAACGATTGTAATAGAGAAATTAGAAGAGGTGGGAGATGATTTGGGAAAAATAATATAAATTGTATGGCTCTGAACCTCAGATTATATATTCTCTCCTCGTGTCACATTGCAGAGCCAGTGTTCATATTTTGTCCAGTACCAACATGGGAATTGCCGTATTGGGCATAGTTGCTCAATTGGGCTTTCACAGGTAGAGCCATCGTTTATATTTGGAAAAATGAATTAGGTAGGTAACAATGAATTTTTCATTTGGTTTATATCCAAACAACTTTTTTTTTTTTTTTTTTTTTTTTTTTTTTTTTTTTTTTTTTACATTATTAGCTATCAAACTTTTTGTAACGTTCGGTTCCCGGTATGTATTCTAAATATGAATTTCTCATTTTTGCAAAGGGACTCAACGAGTTGGAGGCCCCAAACTCGTCGAGTAGGAACGTAATTATTGGATGCGGGACTTGAAGTCTACTCGACAAGTTGAGAGCCTTAACTCGACGAGTAGGGTTGCCATAATGAAACCCTAATTTTCAGGATTTGCACCATATTTAAAGAATAATATCACAAAAGTCCCATGTTTTTGCCATTAAACTGGAAAAAGCTCTGAATTTAATTTTTCATTTAATGTGACCACAGTATTTTCTTTGAGTTATTGTTTGAGGGCAAAGAGCCGGTTTCAGCAGATTTACTCCTTAGTCGAACGTTGCAGGTAGTTTTGGGTCGATTTTTCTCTCCAACTTCAAATCAAAAAGATGGTAAGCTCCTCCAACACGCACACACAAGGTTACAAAGAGTGGGCTTTAAGGAATCGTTGGTCTGAAGATTTGAGATGCGATTGTGATGAACATGCGATATTCTCGATCTCCAAAACTGTCGATAATCCATGGAGGAAATTCAGGGGGTGTCCAAACTATCAGGTAATATTAAGTAATTTTTTGTGGTCTTGTTGAAGCATTATGAACAAGTGATTGTTGTGCAGGACTCCAAAAAAAATACGGCTTTTTTTTATGGCTTGATCCACCCCTGCCAAGCACTTACTACAAGGAAACTATGTAGAAATTCCATATGGATTTGGAGGAGGCTAACAACAATAAAGCATTTGCAATGGAGGTTTTGAAGCTTTCGGAGGAGGCCAAGAACAACAAAGAAGTTCAACTGGATATTTTAAACCTGTTAAAGGTGGAGCTACTTATGATGGTCATGCTTTTGATGGTGGTGATAGTGATGGGGTTTATGGTTCACAATGTTATGGTTAAAGCATTGTGAAGTTGTGGGAATTAGTTAGGTTCAGGTGGAATGGTAGTAGTAGTTTAGGTGTAAGGGTATTTTGGTCAAGTTAGGCAGTAAGTAGATGCATGTGTTATGTATGGCAATTTTTTAGTTTTGTAAGAGATGACAATGACAACAACTTATTATGTATTAATGATAACAATGTATTAAGTCCTTTAACACATACATATGTATAAACTTACTTACCAAACTAACCAAAATATGGAAGGTAACAACAATTATAGTGATCAAGGCATATATATATATATATATATATATATATATATATATATATATATATATATATATATATATTGATAACTTAACAATCATACCAAATATTTAACAGCCCAAAAATGGGAATGTACTTTACAATGCTTCCCAAAAACCACTATCATACCATTTAACCTAATTAGAACCAAACTTCCAATTCTACCAAACATTATGGATATGAATTGGAAGCTTGTTACTAAAAGACAAGTGTACCATTTGTAGATGTTTACAAAAAAAAGGCAACCTATTTACTAATGCCCATTCTACCCATTGAACCCTTAAACACAAAAAGTAGATGTTTACAAAAAGGGCAACCTATTTACTAATGCCCATTCTACCCATTGAACCCTTAAACACAACTCCTTACTCTAAAACCCAAGGGGTTTTGGAGGAACCACCACCATCAACATCTTCAACCATTTTCCTGAGCTTCAACTTCCTAATTCTTTCAGATGGTTTTCTCTTTTTCTCCCAATGGAAATTGTAAGCACCATAACTTCTTCTGGAGGGTAGGACTATTGCTCCAACCTCTGTCTCTTCAACTCCTTCTTCCTCAACCACTATGCCTTCAACTTCTTCTTGCTCAACCTGTATGCCTTCAACTTCTTCTTCTTCAACCTCTCTATCTTCAACTCGTTCCTTAGCCTGTTTTTCTTCAATCTATTGTTCCTCAACCTCTCAATAAACCTACAATATGGAAAGGTAGTTAGTAAATCTATAATATGAAAGCCAAAAATAGTGATTACCAGAACATACCTTTTTCATAGCAGCCACTGCATCAGCATATGTATATCCAGACATCAGCAACTCTTGTAAAGTAACTCTTTCACTCACCTTCACCTCATTGTCATCGTGTTCTTGTTCCTGAACATCCTCTATTGCTTGACTCATACCTTGCTTACCATTAGGTGTATGTGTAAAAAGATCAACAAAATCCTCATCACAGGTTAGGGACACATCCTCCTTTGCATTAATCTTATGTTTCTTACCATTAGGTGTTTTCTTTGGTGTTTTGTTCCTTGATCCAGACACTTTAGTTTTCCCTCCTCTCCTTGCCATCATCTTAGTCCTTTTTAGAGGACTAATATTAGGACCACCTACTTGATTACCACATTTTGAAATTGGGGGAAGAGTAACATCACTTCTTGGTACATCAGGCCCACTAACTTGATCACCATATTCTGAAACTGTGGGAGGAGCAGCATCACTTCTTGGTATAGCAGGATCAGCTGGAGGGAATTAATCAAAGACAGGTTGGCCTCCCCCATCTTTCCTAGGTCTTCCAATCTTCCTTTTTGGGACAGGCGGTTTAGGTACCTCATCATTTGTGCATGAGATCTTATTATGCCCAAGTTGTTGGCACTTTCCACACCTCGCAGTCCTAGTAACCTTTAACCTTTGAGAGGGGTATTTGGCATCTTCTGATTCAGATGCATGCTTCACTCTATTTACTTTGGGTCTTGCAGGCATCCTTCTAACTAGGGGTGGTAATGGTTTAATAAACTCAGTCACTGGCCACAAGTTGCTTCCACCAACAGGTTGTATGTTCTGACTGTAGGTTGCAACATATTTGTCCTTGTGGAACCAAGATGAAATGAATTCACTTGGATCTTTGTGGACATAGTTGATTGCAGCTTGACTATGCACACATGGTATGCCCGACAACATCTACAAGTTGCAGGTGCAAGTGTGATTGGCTAAATCAACCTTGTATCCATTGTAGCCATACCTAGTCTCAAACACATCACCACCACTTGGCACCACTATCCACAACCCACACACAAAACAAACAAAGTACACATATAAATACATACTTAATATTTTTGGATACATGCCAATAAAAATTTATATTACCTCATATCTTTCCCAAATTCATTAAGCTTCAATTGTATGTTAGGCCCATAACTACCCCTCCATTTGGTGGCCTCTTGACCTTGATGAAAAAACCTTTTCATAAGGAGAATCCTCATTTCCTCAAGCATTGTGATTATAGGCTTCTTCCTTATTTGTTTGATCATAGCATTGAAGCATTCTGCAACCCCATTCTCTACTGCTTCACTAGCATACCCATGAGAAAATAAGGCTCTGCACCAAGTTTCAGGTTTCCTTGCCATAAGATAATTGTATCATGTTTCTGTTATCTTCTCTATCTTCTCCATTGTAGCAAGAAAGTCCCCTTCCACTGTACTCATAGCAGCTTCCCAGAACAAACTCTTTAGCTCTAATCCCGTGAATTTCTTTCTAAAGTTTGCAAAGATGTGTCTAGCACATTGTCTGTGCTCAACATTAGGGAGTAGGTCTGACACAGCCTGTAAAAGTCCCTATAATTAACAAACAAACACAACACAACACATGTAAATATTAATGACTGTAACATACAAATATATATTGTATACTAGTGTATGTTATGGTACCTTGTGTTGGTATGATATAACTGTTGGTAATATATATTGTAAACTAAATTGTTTCGAAATTTTAAGATAGATTAAAACTAAATTGTTTTCGAAATTTTAAGATAGATTAAAACTAAAAAAGGTTTAATTAGGAGTGTTAAATTCTAAAACCCTAGTATTGTTTTGAAAAGTTCAAATCACACCCTTATGGTTTTATTAATTAATTAAGGTGTATAATTAAAAGAGATTTAATAAATCCATAAAAGTTTTGGTTTGCAATTTAATTGAATTAAAGGTATAATTATTAAATTTGACCACATAGTATTTTAAAAGTATGAAATGCACCCTATATTATATATATAACATTAAAAGTCTAACATTATATATATGTATGAGTAAAAGTCAGTCTTACCGTAAGTAGGCCTCATTCATGAAGCTGGTCTATAAGGGGTGTTTAAGGAAATTGCCTATAAAATGGCGATTGAATGGGTATCCACTCTTACCCACCGCACTCTTGACTAGTGGAGGGTCGTTAGCCGAACGGGTAGGATAGGACGAAACCTTCCATTATAAGTATAATGAAATACAAAGTAACTAAATGTTTTTCTAATTCCCAATCTTAGTTACTTAGGCAAAAGTGAATTGATGCAATTCCATGAAATTACACTTTGTGCCCTTGCGAAGACGTTAGTGGAGCGTGTGTGGTTTACCGGCACACTAAATGGTTCTAAGCAAAGGTAGCAAAGGGTGACTCAATGTTTGTCATAGTTCGGTGGAGCGTGTGTGGTTTACCGGCACATCGAATAGGTGACTGTAACATGTGAGGGCACCATGTAAGTTTGCATGGTTATTCACACCCGCTTTGTGATCCTCGGCATCCCAGTCACAAACAAGAGGGGCATATCGAGATTTAAACATGCCATTGAAAGTTCAATGAATCTCAAAGGATCTAGGAGTTTTCATAGATTTAAAACTTAAATTTCTTTTTCGTTTTTCATGGTGGAAATTAGTGAATCGTCATTCACTTACCTTCAAATATTCTGCAACTAGATTACGGCATCCCTTTTCTAGGTTGTAGAATATTGTGTTGGGTCCTAGCCTTAGTATTTCATTTGGGTGATTTACTAAGGACTCAATCTATCAACTAACTTGAATTCGTTTTTCTCCCGTTTTGTAGATGTCAAAGTTCGACAACTATGGTCTTCCCAAATCCCGTGGAACAAGCATTCCACATGAAGATGATATTCCACGATTCGATCGAGGAACAAGAAATCATGCTTCACTTCCTCCTCCTCCTCCAATTATTCTCCCTAACCCACAAATTCAAAGGATTGAAAAGTTCAAGATCACTCAAGCCCTTTTGGCAAGTGAACATAAAGAAGGAAAGTCAGTGTGTCACACATTGATAGGTTAAGAATGATGGGATCCGTTGTCGTGAGGATGGCTGTTGATTGGGTTCTTCAGTCACTTCCTAACTCATATAGTGAGTTCGTAAGAGAGTACTATATGATGAACCACGACGTGACCCTTATAGATCTCACCTATATGCTTATTGCTGCTGAATCAGCAATGGTTTGGCGCAATAGAAAAGCAAAGTTGATTGGTGAATCTGCCTTCAAGACCTCTATGGATATAGACAATGGCAATGAAAGACATGCAATGATCGAAAAGTTTGATCATAAGAGAAAGGCGATGTCTGAAGTAGTTCCATGTGTTGTTCCAAAAGAGTCAATTTGCTTTTATTGCCAAGAGAAGGGGCATTGGAGACGAAGTTACCCTATTTACCTAAGAGATCTAAGAGATGGGAGAGTCAAAAGTATGACTACGCTTCAGGTAAAATCCACTATCTAACTCCGTTAAGTTCCTATTCATTGATTCTTAATACATGATGTGATAAGATTGCATTTGAATGTTTTGAAGGATCGGTGAAAAGAAAGGAAGCTTGATAAGAGAGCAAGATGAATCTAATCACAAGAGATGGATCTTGATCGCATGGACTTGAAGATTGGATTTTGAGCTTAGATAGTTATGATAGAGTTGTTAGAAATTTTCCTTTTACATAGTTTTCAATAGATTTTGCATTGTAAGGACAAATGTTTTTCCGCTGCTTTTATAAATAAAATAAATTTTGTTTGACTTATTTATTTATTTGTTTACTTCCTTGCAATGAAATCGTTATGAAAATTGATGTTTGCATATTTCTACAACGAATGGATATGATTCTTAGTTATGTTATTTATGGAAATGTCGAGAATTTACCAAATAGGGAGAGTTTCTCATCGCCCAAAGTTTCAATTGGACTGAAATTTGGAATCACGCAACTTGGTTGCATGATGAATGAGAAATTTCATATTTGGAAATTAGACAAATTCGTTGACAAAGTGTCAAGTGAAGGACTAGGAGATCGAGTACACAAAGTTGTGTGTTGATCAAGTTCACCATAAGAGTAACAAAGATATTCGTCATGATTTACTAAAGGCTTAGTAAATATGATTACACTTACAAGATTAAGTGTAATTCTGAATTGATTAAAGGGTTTAGATCAATAGTAAACGAATAAGAAGAATCAAGTAGGCAGAAAGATAAAAGTTTCTCCATTCTAAGAAGAAGGGAGAGTAGCTTTTATGCTTTATGATAGGTCTTAATGATTAAGAACCATATCTCAATTGATCCTCTAAGTGAGTCTTAGTACAATTGTATGTTTAAGAAGAGGAATCAAGGATTGAAGAAATGGTTAAATCAAGAAGTCTATCATACTTCGTTCCAATAACAAGTCTTAAAGTTAAGATTGTGACAATGAGTGAAAAGTATTAAAGGTTTATAACATTCATCAAATGTGGAAAGTTGTGATGTCTTGGATAAGACAAAGACCAACTAGGACCAATTTATGAAGTGTTTTGATAAAAGCTACACTAACTCTTGAATATTTGTTGTCAAGAAATGTTTATTGACAAGAGAATCTTATATGTCAAGGAGTCAGTGGGAGTCTTAATGGTCTTGAAAGGTTTCAAGAACAAATCAAATAAACCTTATCGATCATCACTAGCACACGAGTTGAGGTTTACAACCTATCGTGTTGACATATTTTGATTCTGTGCTGTTCCAATTGAGTTAATTATGCATGTGAGTTCTATGAGTTCTCATTTTGAACGCATAAAAGGCAAGCACCTTAATCAATGAAAGGTACATTGATAGGAAAAGGTGAGCTGCTTAACTACTTGGAAGACGTGGTGGGCAGCTGTGCTACCATAAGGCAAGAAATCAAGATTAAGAAAGTTCGGTCCATATGAGTTTGAATTTGTCGTAAACTTTGGTTTTAACAAATTCACATGGATAGGAACAATACACCATTTAAATCTAAGTGTCATAAGATTTCCTCCTTCATGAAAATGATTGTGAGGAAATGCTTTCACTAAGAAAGATTTTAAGAAGATAGTGATTGTAAAATTGCATTCTCGAATTCGATTATGGTTACGGTATCCCTTTCCATAATTTGAATTGTGAGGTTTGGCAATTAGTCTTAATTGTTTAGACACACATATGAACTATCTAAGGCAAAGGTGTATAAGTTCAAGAAGCCTTGATAAAAGATTATCAAAGCACTAAGTATTAGAAACATGGACTTAAGAAATTCAATAGGTATTGTTTTCTGAAAGTTAAGATGTTTAT